CACCTGGCACGGGCACCGTAGCCAGCCCATGCCCCTTTAAGGGCTCCGGGGCCGGGAGGGGGGCAGAAGAGTTTCCCTGGTGGTGCCCAGAGTGGCCACCAGGGAAAGCTGGGGAGGGCTAGCCTCCCACTAGTTCGAATTAAGTGGCTACACAGCCCTTAATTCGAACTACTTAATTCGAACTAGGCGTTAGTCCTCGTGGAATGAGGTTTCCTAGTTCGAATTAAGCGCTCCGCTAGTTCGAATTAAGTTCGAACTAGCGGTTTGCTAGTGTAGCGCCTATCAAAGTTAATTCGAACTAACATCTGTTAGTTCGAATTAACTTTGTAGTGTAGACATACCCTCTGTTTTTTCACTTCTCCAGGTGGCTATTTTAGTTTTAAGAATGCTTGGTATACATCCGGTAAGTGTTTGTCTCTGTTTGTGGGATTGGAGCAAATCCAGTTGTATCTTAAGGCCTGGCTGTAGACAATTGATTGGGAAATGCGTCTTGGATGGAAACTAGAGGCATGTAGGTAAGTGTAACGGTCGGTAGGTTTCCGGTATAAGGTGCTGGAAATGTGGTCGTCATTTAAATGTACTGTAGTGTTAAGGAAGTGGATCACTAAGGTTGATGGTGGGGTGGATATGTAGATTCATGAACTTTGAAGTGGGTTTTAGTTTTTGAGGTGTCATAGGATTACCAGTTGTTTTTAGAACTGAATTGTTATTCTTTGTAGATACCCTCTCCCCTGTTCCACAGAGACTCCTGCATCCCTTCCCCTCTGCCTCCAGCAATCAGATTCTAGACTGGGGCTGAAGAAACCACATGGATGCCAAGGGTCCAGCAATAGGGTTGGTTCTACTCACCTTGGACAGCAGAATATTGGGAGTGACAGACCCATTCGGAAGCTGTGTGCCGGGGGACTGCAGGCTGACAGGGCATCGTCCCTTTGAGAGTCAGTTCTAATTCAGCCACTGCTTGGGAGCTAGCCCCTGTCTTCACTGGGCTCCTGGCAGTGCTGCTGATCCCCTAACACAAAGCAGCTGCTGATCCCCTAACTCTGCCCGGGTATGTCTACACTAACCCCCTAGTTCGAACTAGGGGGGGTAATGTAGTCATACAGAGTTGCAAATGAAGCCCGGGATTTGAATTTCCTGGGCTTCGTTTGCATAAAGCCGGCCGGCGCCATTTTTAAATGCCGGCTAGTTCTGACCCCGTGCCGCGCGGCTACACGCAGCACAGACTAGCTAGTTTGGATTAGGCTTCCTTTGGTCTGAGGTGTACAGCTCAGGTGAGGTGGAACGAGGTGTACAGCTAGTACGGATTAGGAAGCCTAATCCGAACTAGCTAGTCCGTGCCGCGTGTAGCCGCGCGGCACGGGGTCCGAACTAGCCGGCATTTAAAAATGGCGCCGGCCGGCTTTATGCAAATGAAGCCCGGGAAATTCAAATCCCGGGCTTCATTTGCAACTCCGTATGACTACACTAGGCCCCCAGCAATAACTGCCGGAGCCCAGCCTGCTGTGAAATCCCTGGGGAAGTTACCTTGTTTGAGCCTTGCTGGGCTGTTAGTTCTGTGTGTACAGGGGCAGTAGTTAGGTCTGGCAGAATCATAGGGTGAAATCCTGGCTCCATTGAGGACAATGGCAGAAATCCTGTTGACCAGCATTTAACCTCTTGAAACCAGAGAGAAAAACTCTCTGGAGGTGCCAGCCACCTGCTCCAGTGCAGGTTTGCTCCCAGCTGTATATTTGCCAGTGCTCTGCTCAGTCTGGCGTGGCTCTTGAACGTTTGGCCCTGTGTTCTGTTCCCACACGACACGTACTGCTAATGTTTCAAGCCCCCACATGCCTGCCTCGGTTTCAGACCTGCATGGGACGTTTCCTCAGCGCTATGTGATACCATGCAGGGTACCGATTAGTGGCTAAAACGTTCTAGTTTCTAATCCCTAATAATGAGGGATTAAAGCTATTGACTATTTTATGAATAAAGTTAATCCTTCCTGGATTAAGGGGCCACCTGCACTATAGTTTTAACTTGTTCAGTTTGGGTGTCTCTAAAGCCAAGTACAAAATGCCAGTCTGGATTTTCCCAGCCCAGCTCCTGTGCTAGCAGGAAATTGAAATGGATAATTTGCCACAGCACCAGGCGAGCGTTCTCCTGCCTCAGTTCCCTGGAACGTCAGCTCCTGGGTTAGTTTGGTCACTCAGGTTGTCATCCCCTTAAATCTAGTGTGTTAAGTTCACCAGCAGGGCTTCCCCTTTTTGGAGACTGACAGAACTTCATAGCAAGCTGCTTTCTGTTCCGGCCCCATTTCCTTAGTGCTGGCCCTGCTCAGAGGGGTGGGAACAGATGGCTGCATTTAGAGAGAAGTGAAAGGTGGTCTCTAGAACTTGGATCCTGGGGGTGTCTGCTAGCTCTGAGCATTGGCACGAGAGGGCTTTCCTAGCGCCACAGAAGCTTTGGTTTGCATTGTTCTTAGACACTGCTGGGATTGTTTTTGCTTCCCATTCTGAGGAGCTCTGTAGGGATAATACCCTTTTCTCCTCTGGGACTTGGCTTTTAGTTTTATCTTGGTCTCCCTGGGTCAGATTCTTCTCTCATTTACTCTGGTGTAAATTCAGAGTGACTCCATTAAGATCCGTGGAATCTGTCTGGATTTATAAAGGGCTGGATGGGAGTAGGACATGTCCACTTGATTTCAGTGGGAGTTGCTTGTGGCAGGGGAACTGGTTCCCTTGTATTCTTTGTAGCTTTGACATTAAGGCTGTCTGCCTGTCTTCATCTCCTGCCAGTGCCTTATCTGGCCTTAGACTGCCGTTGTTTATCAGTGGAAATCTACAAAACAAAAACTCTTCCCCCCCTGGACTTGGCCTATAGAAAGAAATTCACAACAGAGCCCATCAGCAGCCTCATCCATTTCCTGCCACTGCTGAATAATTCCCTCCAGCACTAATAAATATTTAGATTTGC